GGAAGTAGATTGCCCCATCTTCCTTCTGAGGAGTGGCTGGTGGGTTTGAACTGCCAGCCTTCTGGTTAGCAGTCAAGTGCCTTAGGCACTACGCTTCCAGAGCTCCCTTCCTTAGAGTAAGTACCTGGTTTTCAATTAATGGGCAGGTAAACTTGCAGAACCAGAAACCATTTAGTGAACAAATATTTATTTTCTACATGAAGTACAGAGTGAAATTGCCAACTCAGAGTTGAGACTGTGGCAGTTCAGTAAGAAGGGTAACATTGTAGGCTGTGGGGTCAGACTACCTGGGTTTGAATTCTGGCTCCATCCATTATTCCTGCTTGATTTGGAGAACATGTCATCCTCCTAGTCTTGTTTTCCTCATCAGTAAAACGAGGTCTCTAACGATGGGATCCATCTCAGTTTTTGAAAATGAGGATTAAATGAGATGATGTATGGAAAATCCTTAGCATGGTGTCTGGCACATCATAATCATTTAATAGATGATTGTTATTATTATAAGTAATATTCCTGGGGGCTGCATCCCACTCAGCCATGCACCTTCAGGATCCCCCAGCAGGACTTTCTTTCTTCTCATCTGTTAAATGGCATGTTTGGATCAGATGCTTTGTAAGATCTCTTCTCATTCTTACTACTTGTGACAAAAAATATTGAAGCACTAGACCCTGTGTGAGTTCACATGCTAATAGAAGGTCAATTATAATATCTTAAAACACTTCAGATTCTTTTTTGGCTAAAGAAAGGGTGTATGAGTTAGAATCGACTCTGGCAATGGGTTAGTTTTTGGTTTTTATCTATTGTTCATTCTGACTTCAGAGAGATAAATGTCACTTGTGAATAAAGGTTTTTTTTTTTTTTTTTTCCTTTTCATAAAGATTTTTGAAAGAAAAATAGTAGTAAGAGGATATCTCATACTTTGATGCCTCGGTTTTTTTCTTTACATATAGATTTACCCACAGTATGTTACCAAATCTTTACAATAACCCTGCCCTAGATAGACAACTGCAGGGCGCCTTGCTGTAAATAGCCAAGCTGGGACTGAAACCCAGAGCTTAGTGACTCCAAAGCCCACACTCTTCATCTCAATGGAATGTTTGCTAGAAGACCCTCATCTCCTGAGCAACGAAATCATTCTCAGATGATGCAGCTCACTGAGTGGTGAAGTCATGCTCACGCCTTCTGGTCACCAAGGGACTGGATAGTGACTTATAAAAGTAAAAGGACAGTCTTAAGGTTTGCTTTCCTGGGAGCTGGTGACTCGAGTGAATTGAACCTTGGGGACTTCAGTGGGCCAGATCCAGCTGATTTTAAAACAATGAGGCATTTAACTGCTAACCAGAATTTGGCAGTTCAAACCCACCAGCCACTCTGCAGAAGAAAGACTGGGCAGTCTACTTCTGTAAAGATTTACTGCCTCAGAAACCCAATGGGGGTCACTTCAGAGTTGGAATCAACTCCATGGCAGTTAGTTCATTTTTTTATTTTTAAGTAGATACTAAGTACCACACTCCACTGCCCATCTGTCAGTTTGTTGTAGTGGTGGCTTTTGTATTGCTGGGATGTTGGGAACTATGTCACCAGTCTTTCAAATACCAGCGAGCTCACCCATGGTGGACAGGTTTCAGTACAGCTTCCAGACTAAGATAGACTAAGAAGAAAGACGTGGTGATCTACATCCAAAAATTAGCCAGTGGAAACCCTATGGATCACTCTATCCAGTAGAATACTATCTGATACAGTGCTGGAAGATGAGCCCCCTAGGTTGGAAGGCACTCAAAACACACAGTGGCTGCAACATTGGCCCAACCACACCAGCTCTTATGGAGATGGAGCAGGACCAGGGCAACATTTCATTGAGGTTGCCATGAGAGTTAACAACAAACTCATGCTAAAAAATTTCTCAAGTAGCAACTACACAAACGTCACTCACTGCATGCGTGGTGCCTGCCTTGTTCCCAGGTGCTCCTACACTGTGGGGCATGGAGAAGAAACATCGAGACCTTCAGAGGCCCCCAAATCATCACACTGGCTCATTGTGCTCTTGACTATCTTCAGCTGGGACTCTAAGTTACATAGATAGGTTATAGCTACTCAATGGAGCCACATCTTATGCAGGAGATAGTTTCTATAATTGAAGGGTAAAGGGACATCACATGTAGACAAAACCCCTTTGCCATACAGAATTTCATCTATACAATGTGTACAGTGACATTCTAATGTATAAATTTACCAACATGTTTGTTTTTTCCATCTTATACTCATTGAAGGGGCTCTGCTGGCATAGCAGTTAAGGCATTTGGCTGTTAACCAAATGTTAGCACTTCAAATCCACCAGCCGCACCGTAGGAGACAGATGAAGCGTTTGCTTCTGTAAAGATTTACAGCCATGGAAACCCTATGGGGCAGTTCTACTCTGTCCTATAGAGTCACTGTGAGTCGGAATCGACTCAGTGGCAGGGGGTGTATATTCATTGAGACATAGTGAATGGAATGCCAGGCAAACACTTTCCTTGTTCTTTCAATTACAGCATTTTTTTCCTCTGAATGTATTTGACTGAATAAGCATTAACTAACGTGCAAAAGAGGCAGTTTCCTCATGGAAGGAGCACAGGCTGTGGAGTCAGACAGACCTACATTTCAATCCCAATTCTGCATCTTACTATGTGAGGTAGACCTTTGCCATTCAAAGTGTGGTCCAGACCAACATCTACATCATCACCTGGGAGCTCATTAGAAATGAAGAATCTCAGTCCATGTCATGTTTCCTGAATCAGAATCTGTATTTTTACAAGATCCTCAAGTGACTGGTAGACTCATACAGTTCAAGAAATCCAAATATAGACTAGTTAATAGCTGAGGCTCATTATAAAAGGGAGAGTGGTAGCACAGTGGTTAAACACTTGGCTGCTAACCAAAAGGTCAGTGGTTCCAATTCATCAGCTTCTCCATGGGAGAAAGATGTGGCAGCCTGCTTCCATAAAGATTTACAGCCTTGGAAATGCTATCGGGTAGTTCTATTCTACCCTATATGGTCACTATGAGTCGGAATCAACTCCACAGCAATGGGTTTGCTTTGCTCTATAACAAAATGCATTTTTGTGTATATATTTTAAAATAGTGTGTGGGTTATTTGGGTGAAAGTTTACTGAGCAAATTCATTTACCATACAACAGTTCATACACATTATGTTTCATGACATTGATTGTAATCCCCATAATGTAACAATTCTCTTCCCACTTCCTCCCTGTGGTTCTTTCCCTGTGTCCTTCTTTACTATGCATTCCTGCCCTCTGAGCTATCTCCCTGTGCAAATGCTGCCCTTCTGATCTCCCATGGTTGAGTGTTCTGAGGAGTGTATCTACTTGGTATAAATGTTCATCTTATATGCCTATTGTCTGGCTGGAAGCTATGGGAGCGAGTTCGATTCCAGACCCAAAAGATGACTGTTGTTGTTGTTAAGTGGTCGAGTTGGACCCGACTCATAGTCACCCCTCTTTGGGTTTCCGAAGCAGTATCACTAGAGAAGTAGATTGCCCAACTTTCCTTCCGAGGAGTAGCTGGTGGGTAGGGGCCACAATCTCAGGTGTTTCACCAGTCTGTATCAGACCAGTAATCTTGGTCTTTTTTGAGTTTTCTCCACATTTTTCTCCCACTCTATCCAGGATCTCCTGCACTGATCCCTCTCCAAGTGGTTGACAATGGTAGCTGGGTACCATCTAGTTTTTCTGGTCTCAGGGTCATGTAGGCTGAGGTTCACATGGTCCACTAGTCCCTTGGACTAATTGTTTCCAGGTATCTTGGTTTTCTTTATTCTTCTTTGCTCCAGACGATGAGAAACAAATTGTTGCATCAAGGTGGCCGATTGCAAGCTTTTAAGACCTCAGTCGCTACTCACCAAAGTAGGATGTAGAATGTTTTTGCGTAGTATGTTATGCCAATGAGCTTGATGTCCCCCATGACCATGGTCCCGAGCTCATAGGCCCAACAAGTCACTCCTTGAAGGTGGCTAAAAAATTATCATAACTTTGCCCTATTAGTTCTATTTATTTGGACATTCTTATAGCACATACAAATATATATATATAGAAATATCATTTGCCAAACTTATATATAGATCATGGGTGTATTCACTTTTATGTTGACTTACCTAATCATTCAGCCTATCTATTAAATGCATTTTCTTTATATAAAAATGAAGAATGTTGATACTTTCATAGAAGAGGGATGATTTTTTAAAATTATTTCCTTCAAAAGAAAGTAACAATAGTTACTGCCAAATCGATTCTGATGCATGCCAACTCCATGGGTATGAGTAGAATTGTGCTCCCTAGGGTTTTCAATGGCTGATTTTTTGGAAGTAGATTGCCAGGTCTTTATCTTGAGACACCTCTGGGTGAATTGGAACTGCCAACCTTTCAGTGGATAGCTGAGTACTTAACTGTTTGCGCCACCCATGGAAAGGCCCAGGTAGAATGTTAGCTTCTCCAAGAAAGTATCCGAGGTGCCCAGTGAGAATGAACCTCTCCTTCAACACACAAGCTTGTTAGATGTTAGCCCCTGTCTACTAGAGCTATGTATGCACATCTGTCTGTGGCCTGGAGTGTGTGAGCTGGGGTCAGGAGCCAAGCCCTACTCACTATCTCAGCCTCCACAGTACCTGGCACAGTGTTTATCCACATAGCTCAAGGGACAATTAAGTTTGAGAAAGGTGTGAGAACCACTTGGAATCGTGGAAGATACAGTGGCAAAGCCAGAAATGAAAGTCTTCCTAGATCAAAGATCTTTCAAAATTACCACCACTAATGTGGCTCCCAAGGAGCCCAGGTGGTACAGGGGTTAAGCCCTTGGCTGCTAACCTACAGGTCAGTGGTTCAAACCCACCAGCAGCTCTGAGGGAGAAAAAAGCTTGATCTCCATTAAAGATCTAACAGCTCAGGAAATTCTATGGGGCATTTCTACTCTGTCATACAGGGTTGCTATGAGTCGGAATTAATTTGATAGCACACAACAATAACATGTTTAGCATCTTGGAAATGCTTCAAAATAATCAATCTTCTCACCCCTTCACCCTAAACAGATGTGGTGTTCTTTCACTTCCTGAATCACGTGACAAACTTGACTCGGCCACAGATCATGATGATATTTGACATGCTGGACTGGAATGCTATGGGCGAGATTGGTTTTGACCAGTTCTACATGTTGGTCTGCATACTGCTGTCACATCAGGCAAGTAACAAGTGAGAATCTGGGACAGAGGAGGAAGAGTCTGGTTACTGCCATCATCTTGCTAAAGGGAGCTCACAATGAAGAATGTATCAACATTTTGTCTTCCTTCCACTACAAACAAGAGGAAGTAAAAATGGGGAAAACTAATTTTGGTTTTCAAGCAGTCCATCCATAACCTAGAGATTTTCAACAGTTATTTATTTGGCTGCCGCTGCTCTCTACCCTTCTCCAGCCTTCTGACATGGCCTCCCTTTCTGAGGCACAGATCTTAGCTGGGCACAACCCTGATGGGTATGCCCTTCCTCACTTGATTTATCTGATGATCTTCCAGGAGTAATGCCAAGGGCCTTACTCTATCAGTGGTCCCTTTTCTTGGCAAGTTCTCTGAAGAGGGTCAGTAACAGAGATGAGACACCCTCCTTTTGGGTTCCCACCTTACTTTTGGAAAGACTCCTTATAGCACGGAATCGGGTTGGCTGTAATCTTTATGAAAGCCGCTGGCCAAGCCTGGATCTTCCACAGTACCACTGGATGGGTTGGAACAGATATCCTCTGGGTTACTAGCTGAGTGCAGACCATCTGCACCACCCAGGGACCTTAGGTTCCCACCTTCCTTTAGACACTCTTCTAGTGTAGGGTCTATTTACCTACTTCCAACTCCTTGAGGACAGGGACCTTGTGTGGTCACCATTTTATCACCAGGGCCATGATGCTTCATGAGTAGATTTCCACTGCAATGTAAGGACATGCACTGAGGTGAACAGAGCTCCATCTAGTGGTAAAACTGATTACTACAGAATTGATTACTACAGTAATTTCCTCTTGAATACAGATACTTAAGTAGGACTTAAAGCATTGATGGCAGAATCCTATCAACTATTAACTTCTATGGTTTTCCCTTTTAGTTTTCTAGGGAATAGACAAGTTAACATGAGTCTTGATGTAACATGTTTAGAAGGTATCACCAGCACCACTCTTCCTTGTCTAATGTATTTTTCTCTAAACAGAACCATTTGGAACAGCAATTTATTTATCGCCATTCCCGGCCTGTCTTTGAGCTGCTTGACCTGGATGGGGACCTGAGAATTGACCTAGAGAACTTCCAGTTGTACAGCTTTCTCTTCAATATTAAAAAACAAGAACTTAATGAGATCTACCAAAACTTTGATTTCACAGGTGATCATGTAAGTTCAGATCCCAGAAGTGGGGCATGGCAGTCTCTCTACCCAAAACTACAGTACAGAGGGGTAAGGAGGGAGGTGGGAAAAACCTGCTCAGATAGGCATTTTGCATGGTGCTAAGATCAGGAGCCCGAGTGCTGGAATGGTTAGGCATTTGGCTACTAACTGAAAGGCTGGACTTTTGAACCCACCTAAGATTCCAGCCTTGGAAACCCTATGGGGCAGTTCTACTCTGCCCTAGGCCATTACGAGCTACGATTGACTTGATGGCACACTAGAAGATGATGAGAAGAAAACAAGAGATTCATAGGCCCATATGAATAAGATTGAACCTAAAGTGCTGCATTATATATTTATGGATTAAAAAACACAAGTTTAAGAAGGAAATTTTTTATAACAGTAATAGTTAGTCTTGGGGTGTTACAGATTTGAATAAGTAGAAATGAAGGGATTCTATAATGGGAACACAAGCAAAATCCTGAGAACACAGCTATGGTGAAGAATTCTGCCTATTTAAAGAGGAAGTCCATGTTGGGGAAGCAAGTGGGAGCTAAGGTTGATAAGGTGGGATAACCACATTATGAAGAACCTTAGATGCCAGCCTGAAGTGTCTGGCCATGACACAGAAGTAAGAAGGCAACCCCTGGCTCTCTTAATGTTTATAATACTTTTCTCTCTCTTCCTGGGTACTAGATTACAATTAGACTGTAATTGTGTCCTAATTAGTGAGCCTCTTTAAGTTCTCAAGTCTTTCAATGAGAAATAATTACAATCCTGGTGTTATCTGAAACAAAGTATCAAATCCTCCCTAAAATAATTTTTCTTTTTCTTTCAACAAAAGCGTCTTAATTACAAGGAATTTAAGCTGTTTACTATCTTCAATGTTGACAAATACCAGAAGAGGCAGAAAGCCGAGAAAGAAAAAGAGGAGAAATTTCTGCTCAAAAGCAAAGTGTCACAACAAAGTGATGTGTTCACAAAAAAAGAGCATTGCTTGGAAAAAAAAATCTGAAAGAATATAAAATTGAAACTGTTAACATGTATCTGAAAATAAATTTAGAACACAAAGTGGTTATCTTTATATTGACTTTTACTTGGAAAGGTCCACATTAATTTTACTAACTTGCTGACTTCAGAACTCACAGTGAATTACTTTCTTTGTTAACATGTCCCAATTCTGTTGCTGTTTTTCAGATTAACTCTGTTCATTAGGTCCCTGTGTACCAAATAATTACCAACACTTACTGGAACTAAGCAGTTGATGGGTGAAACTTTCCCGATACTTGTCACTCATGACCCAATACTCAGAATCATTTCCATTCTCCCAGTTCTTGGGCTGAGACCACTTTGATGAAAGAAACATCAGACTGGCTAATGGTGAACTGCCTCCAACCATAGGAAAGAGAATATTAAGAATATGGGGGCTATTTTCTTCCTAGAACTTCAATTCCTCTCTGATGAGTTAGATGTTTAAGAACTGTGACAATCTACCAGGGCAAAAGAATTATTATATACCCTTATGTAAAATTAATGTCTTGAATAATTTTCTTTTGGCATGAGACTTGCAATTCCTCCCTGACTCTATCATGTTAATGATGGTGACTAGCATTTATTATATGGTTGCTAGCTCTGGGAGGGTAGTGCCTAAGGCACTTGATGGCAAATCAGAAGGCTGGCGGTTCAAACCCACCAGCCACTCCCCGGAAGGAAGGTTGGGCATAGTAATACTGCCTCAGAGACCCAAGGAGGGGTCGCTGTGGTCAACGGCACACAACATCAACAACAGGCTACTTCTTTAAATACAGGACTTCATTTATCCTTGTAACTCTGTGAATTAGGTGTTCTGATTGCTGAAGTTACAGATGGGGAGACTGAGGCCTAGAGTGATTCTTACCTCAAAACACACAGTTCACTAGTGCTAGAGTCAGGATTCAGACGCAAATGGCATGTGTGTGCTTACCACCAGGGAGCCGAGTTAAGTCACTCCAGCTGGAGCAGATTCTGCAAATGTTTTAAGCTGGTATTTCACAGGCCCAGAAATCCCTTTTGTATCATGCAGACTACCGTGTATCCTTTGCCCTAAATTTCTGAGGAACAAATTTAGGAGTTAAAGAAACAACTCACATACTACTATAGAAACCAAGGATTTTCTAAGACTACATAATATTACATAATTGATCATTAGGCATTCAATGAGTTCTGATATGATTACACTTTGTCTATGTGCAACAGCTAAGTATATTGCTTAGCTAAGACTGTCGATCATAACAAAAGCTTAATAATAGAAATCACGTTAGATAATTACTATGAACACTTCTCAATCTTTGTGCCTAAGAGATACAGGATTTTGATAACATATTTAAGAGTATGAATAAAGCAGTAATGTGTTTACTGGCCAAAACTTCTCTCTTCCTCACCTTAACTCACTGCTGTTGAGTCAGATCCGACTCATAGCGACCCCTCCTTGGGTTTCCGAAACAGTATCATTACAGAAGTAGATTGCCCAACCTTCCTTCTGAGGAGTGGCTGGTGGGTTTGAACTGCCAGCCTTCTGGTTAGCAGTCAAATGCCTTAGGCACTTCACCACCAGGGTTCCTCTCCTCACCTTAGCACTGCCAAAACTGAATGGAGCTGGGAAAAAAGAAAAGAAAAAACCCAAGTTATACCTAATTCCTTTTGCCCTCCACTTCTACATGGAAATAATGGTATCTGTCTCATGGAACTGTGAAGACAGAAAGATGCAAAGCCTCTCACTTAAAACGGCCCTTTTCCCTTCCTCTGATTTAGTGGCGTTTGCAATCATGCTTTATAAAACGACCCTCTGCCAAACAAATGTGGGTAGTACTACACCTATACAGAACATTAAACTGAGACATTAGTACTACCTGGCTAGAAAATGCTGCTAGAGATCAGCCATAGTTTGAAAGTCCCTCACCATGAAGCTCCTCTTGGTGCAACACTGGCCTCTTTGTGGAAGCCCAGCTACCAGATAGTTTCAGATCTAGGCATGGTTCTGGGAGGAATATTTACAAAGAGACCTTAAGAAGGCTTTTCTCTTCTCTCTCAAGAGGGAATGCTCCTGCAATAAAGGGAAACCACGCCATGTATATTTTCTTGATTCCATTGCTAAAGAATGAGAAGTGGCTGGAAGGGAAGAAGGACAGCCAAAGGTAGTAAGTATAGATCAAAAAACCAATACCATCCATTCTGACTCATAGTGACCCCACAAGGACAGAACAGAACTGCCCCACAGCTTTCTGAGGCTGCAGTTTTACAGAAGACTACCACATCTTTCGCTCTCAGGGCAGCTGGTAATGGGTTCCAATTGACAACCTTTTGGTTAGCAGCCGAGTGCTTAGCTACTGTGCCACCAGGGTTCTCTGATAATAGGTATAACAAACCAAGACCAAGTCTGTTGCCACTGCATTGATTTCAACTCAGCAACCCTACAGGAGAGTAGAATTACCTCATTGGGTTTCTATGGCTGTAATCTTTACAGCTCTGGTGTTGCAGTGGTTAAGGCAGTTGGCTGCTAATCAGGTCAGCAGTTCAAACCCACTAACCATTCCACAGAAGAAAGGTTAGGGAGTCTGCTGCTGTAAAATTCACAGCCTTGGAAACCCAATGGGGGTTGCTATGAGTCAGAATTGACACAATGGCAGTGAGTTTTTTTGTTTAATTTTTATAAGAGCAGACTGCCACATCTTTCTCCTGCAGGGTGGCTGGTAGGTTCTAAGCACTTATCTTTCAGTCAGCAGCTGGGCACTTTAACCACTATGCCACTGTTGTTGTTGTTGTTACGTGCCGTTGAGTCAGATCCAACTCATAGTGACCCTTCCTTGGGTTTTTGAGGCAGTATCACTACGGAAGTAGATTGCCCAACTTTCCTTTCGAGGAGTGGCTGGTGGGTTTGAATCTCCAGCCTCCTGGTTAGCAGTCAAGTGCACTGGTTATCGGTTGTACCTTCTTCTCCATAAATAATAATGTTAAATCATGGTATGTGAGAGCTAAACACAATCTGATAAATTGTCCAATTAACAGGAAAGGACCATTTAAAAAGCATACTGTCTTAGCAACTTTGTCATAAAATAAAGGTGAGTTCAATGGGGAAAAGATAGATGAAGATTATTTAATAAATGATATAAGGGAAACTTTAGGAGACAGCATGTGATTAAGAACCAATGGTACTAAAGGAAGAAGTCCAAGCTGCACTGAAGGAACTGGTGAAACACAAGACTCCAGGAATTGATGGAATACCCACTGAGATGTTTCAACAAACAGATGCAGCTCTGGAGGCACTTACTTGCCTATGCCAGGAAATATGGAAGACAGCTACCTGGCCAGCCAACTGGAAGAGATTGCTATTTGTGCCAATTCTAAAGAAAGGTGATCCAGTAGAATGTGGAAATTATCAAATAACATCATTAACATAAAATGTAAATAAAATTCTGCTGAAGATAGTTGCAGCAATAAACGGACAGGGAACTTCTAGAAATTCAATCTGGATTCAGAACAAAACGGATAAAACAAGGGTATCTTTGCTGATGTCAGATGGATATTAGCTGAAAGCAAAGAATTCCAGATGTTTACCTGTGTTTTACTGACTATGCAAAGGCATTCGACTATGTAGATCATAACAAATTATTGATAACACGGAAAAAAATGGGAATTCCAGAACACTTAAGTGTGCTCATGAACCTGTACATAGACCAAGAAGTACTCTTTCAAACAGAACAAGGGGATATTGCATGGTTTATGTGATAGTTGGAGCTGTGTGTCAACTTGGCTGGACCACAATTCTGTGTGGTTTAAGCTGTTGTGAGGTGGTTATTCCCATGATGGGATCAGATGATTATGTTTTGAGCAGGCAATCTGTTGAAAGGGAGTTTCCCTAGGGGTGTGGCCTGCTTCCAGTATATCTATGGACATTCCAGGAAAAGAGATATTCTTCTGTGGATCCGGATTCTGTTGTACTGCCTACAACTGTCTATGAGTGAACAATTCACCATTCAGCCTGGAGATCTTGGATTCGTCATTCGTTGGGGTCAACAGCCGGTGTACTGCCTGCCAGCCTTGAGCTCCTCAGCCCCTGTGGCTGCAAGAGTCGGGAAAGGCCTCCAGCTTGATGTGGAAGAGCCTCCAGCTTGATGTTTGATCCAGGAACTTTGTATTTGCCAGCTTCTTTAAGTGTGTGAGCCATTTTCCTAACATAAATTTCTCTATATATACATATATATAAGCTTTACTGGTTTTGTTTCTCTAGAGAACCCAGTCCAACACAATTTAAAATCAGGAAAGGTGTAAGTCAGGGTTGTATCCTTTCACCATACTTATTCAATCTGTATGCTGAGCAAATAATCTTGAGAAGCTGGACTATATGAAGAACATGGCATCAGGATTGGAGGAAGACTCATTAACAACCTGCAATACATAGATAACACAACCTTACTAAAAGTGAAGAGAACTTGAAGCACTCATTGATGAAGTTCAAAGAATAGTCTTCAGTATGGCTTACACCCTAGCATAAAGAAAACAAAAGTCCTCACAACTGGACCAGTAAGCAACATAATGATAAATGGAGAAAAGACTGAAGTTGTCACAGATTTCATTTTACTTGTATCCATGATCAGCATCCATGGAAGCAGCAGTCAAGAAATCAGACTACATACTGCACTGGGCCAATCTGCTGCAAAAGACCTCTTTAAAGGGTTGAAGAGCAAAGATGTCACTTTGAAGACTAGGGTATGCCTAACCCTGGCCATGGTATTTTCTATCATCTCACATGTATGTGAAAGCTGGACAACGAATGAGGAAGATGGAAGAATAACTGATGCCTTTGAATTGTGGTGTTGGCAAAGAAAACTGAAAACACCATGGACTCTCAGAAGAACAAACAAATCTATCCTGGAAGAAGTGCAGCCAGAATGCTCTTTGGAAGCAAGAAGAGCAGACTTCATCTCACCTACTTTGGTCATACTGTCAGAAGGGACCAGTCCCTAGAGAAGGATATCATGCTTGGTAAAGTGGGGGGTCAGCGAAAAAGGGGAAGACCCTGAAAGAGATGGATTGACACATGGCTGCAATGATGGACAAGCACAGCAAGGATTGTGAGAATGGCGCAGGGCCAGGCAGTGTTTTGTTTTGTTGTACAGAGAGTGGCTATGAATCAGAATTGACTTGATGGCACCTAACAATATAAGGAAAACTGGAAACAAAACATCTGGACTGCTACTCTACTCCTTTCACCAAAATAAACTCCAGATGACAATGAAACCATAAAAGAAATACTAAAAACACAAGAAAACATTTTTTATAATCTCAGGATGTGGAAGATCTTTTGAAGCTATGAACCCCGAAGTCTTAAAATAAGATAGATAAGATACAATTGTGTAAAACTTAAAACTTATACATGGTAAATTCTATAAAACAAAAGACCAACACATGATTGAAAAGGACAAGTTTTCTTAGTATAGAAAGATATTTACTAATTATGAGGATACAGACAAAAATGCCACCACTGGAATATGGGCAAACATACAGACATGGAGACAGTTCTCAGGAAAAAACCACAGACACACAAGCTTTTAAATGTACAATAAGATGCTAAATATAACTCATAAGAGAAATACAAAGTAAAACCACAGGATAAAGCTTTTCACCTATCAGACTGCCAAAGATTAAAATGTTAGTAGGGCACAGGGAAATAAGAATAGTCAGACTGCTGTGGTCTGAGTATAAATTAGTAAAATCTATTTGGACGGCAATTCAGCATCCATCCTAAATGTACATACTCTTTGGTTTAGTAATGCTCACTCTAAGAATGCATTACTTAGAATTACACAGACACAAGGTTATCTCCAGCATGGTTCCCAGTAGCACAAGACTGGAAACAGCCTAACTGCCCAGAATTAAGGGTCTGAAATAATTGTGGTCCTTCCATACAGCGGAATGCCACTGCAGCACAGGAGGGATGGAGCAGCTCCAGGTCGACTTACATGGAAGAATCTCTAAAGACTAAGAGAAAATCCCAAGGTGCAGAAGTATAGTATATGTGTTCATGGAAAAAAGGGATTGGTTGGGGGGTGAATGTACTCATACATTCGTATCCACTAGAGCAGTGATTCTTATAGACCCAAGATGAGTGCGGCAGCACCACCTGGGAACTTGTAAGAAATACAAACTATGAGGCCCCACTCAGAGCTACTAAATCAGAAACTCCAGGGGCAGGGCCCAGCAATCTGTATTTTAATAGGCCTTCTAGGCAATTCTGAAGCATGCTTACATTTGAGAACCACTGTACTAGAGTATCTTCGAGGACATATGGAAAACTAATCACAGTCATTACCTCTAGGGGACAAGCAGGAGGTGAGAGATGGAGTATAAAAACTCTTCACTTTGGAATGCTTGGATTATTTAACAATGCACATATATTACCTATATTTTAAAATTTAACAAAACAAAATCTGTCACTTTGACCCAAAGTGGGTAACAAATAACCCCAGAGCTTCTGAAAAACTGAATCGTGAGTTTGACATATAACATGGTTCTTAAGAGAGAGAGAGGAAAAAAAAGACAAAACCCACCAACCTGTTTTAGACTAAGACTTAAATGAAGAAGATGAAGCATACCTATAAATGACCATGTGGGGTTTGGTACAGCAGAGCCTAAGTTTGGTGATCATGAACTTGTTATTTAATGAGCTGAGGTTTTTAAAAGCAGGAAAACCTTCATACTTCTTAATGAATGAGGCAGACTTCCCTTATGTAGAGAGTAACAATAATTAAAAACCCACAATAAAGGCAAAGACAAAGAGAAAAATTGAACTTTTTTCTTTTTCTTTTTTTTTTTTTAAGAAAAAGCACAAAAACCCTACATACTAAAATTATGCACATCAAGTATTGGTCCATTCTTACATCAATCTATTTACAGTTAAACAGCACCATGGTATTCTCACCTAGGTTAGTTAAACATGCCTGGAGAGTTTATTATTCCAGGTATATGTTCTTTTAAAATAAGATAAACTCTTAAGACAGCTCAAATCCTTGACAAACAAAAAGGACCTTTTATCAACTACAGATTATTGATGACATCACCAAATTTACTTAATAGGTTTGAACATTTTTTTTCCAGTTGATAAACTTTGAGATGTTGCTGCTCAAAGTGGCAGAAAAATGAACAAAAGAAACTTTGTGAGGACAGAGGCGTTATACTTAGATAACCTCCAAATATAAAATTCTCCTTTGGAATTAATGCTGCTGTCTCCTCTTGAATCCAGACTCAATCATCAACAAACTTAAGTCAAATGTAGCCACAATCTTAAAAATGATTGCATAAAAAGGGAAGTAGTTAAAGCTCTTAGAAACATGATAAATTACAATTATAAGATATATCTAATCAGGCTATAGGAAATATAATACCATTTTAAATGTTATGCTTAAACTAATTAGTAGTTTCATTTTGCCAATGAAATTGGTAATAGTGCTTCACATCCAAATAGGTATGGAGGTCTCATACTGTCCATCTGAGAATGGCAAAAGTACCTCTTCGCCTCCTCTCTTCCATCTCATGCGTTCTCAAGTATAAAATTATCATGTTAGCCCCTTCTCATGTACAGAATCAACCTTTTTTTTTTAAAAAAAAAAAAAAAAAAAGACTCCAAATTAAGCTAATTCTTAGCTTTACTCCTGTTACAGTATGGAAGAATCAAGTTACCTCCCAGTTTCTCAGTACTCTAATCCAATTTGCAGATGGTTCTTAATTTACCTCTTTGCCAGGAAAGATGAAAGGAGGAAAATTGTCATTCACCAAGACCAGGGGTAACAGTGAACTGAAAAGCACTAAGGCATAAAGCATGTTTCATCATTTGGTCTCACTGCTGATGTTTAAGTGACCTCAGTAAACCTTTTGCACTTGTGAATTTTAAGCTGAAATTTTCTGTGAAAGACTGAAAATAGGCACAATTCTCACAGGCATAGACAGAATGGGTTTTCTTTATACCCATCCTGCAAAATGGGAGAGAAGAGAGATTATTATTCTGTAGTGGAAACAGTTGTCCTTGACTGACTGTTTCCTGGCCCAGGGACTATGTATTTGGAGTCACAGTTAGCTATGAAAAGTTCTAAGAAGAGTAGGTAGATCAATGAAGGTATTATATGCTAGTGACCTCCTAAGCCTGGATATGAAAACAGCTGTTATACAGACATTTCAAAATACTCATGCAGCAAAAGGACAAGAGACTTTTCACCTGTGTATCAGCTGAAAATCAGAGATCTGACTGCATTGACTACATTATTGCCTAGTGTTCCAGAAGGGTGGCTGCCATCAACAGGATGGAAGGCACCAAAATTTAGTGTGAATGTCAACAGATAGGGATGGAAACAGCAATACTGCAACACAATTTGTCAGTCTCTACTCCTTTATGGCTAAATATTAATTAAAACAGACTAGAAGCAAAGCTCAAATACTGCTCTTCCAGTTTCCATAAAAAACCCTCAAATTTTAACTGTCATCGATGATTTCCAGAAATTGTATTAACTTGATTTATTAAAAAAATATTTTGTATTCAAAAGGTGCTAGGTGCTGTTCTTCATGGATGCGATGTGTGTACAGTCCAAATCATTTAAACACAGCCATTACATAGTGCTGGGTGTTTTAAAATAAATGGCTATCTTATTTCTTACCTGCCTTTCAAATAAGAAATTGTAATTACATGAGTCTCAAAGCCTGGCTCTTTGTGTTTTATTAATTATTTTTGTTGTTCTCCATCACAGATGGAAATTTTCACTGGTCATTCCTCAGAACTAAATCCATTCATAGGGAATTCAGAGCAGTGAAAATAAATTTCACGCTATAGAGTAGGAAAAAACAACATTAATAATGAAGAAGAGTGGGAGAGATCGGAGGACCAGCCAACAGGACCAGTTCAGTTCTCAACTGGTGTTGGGTTCTGCAAAGGTTGGCTCACTATAACCTGTACAACGTAGTCCTTTGGGATCTTCAGTTCTTCCAACTTCATTTTGTCGGTCAGAGGTCTGCCAGAGAAGAACCAACGCTGACTACTTGGTTCCACTCCTTCTGTTGCGTGTAACCGCCTCTTCATGTGGAAAACTGTGTCTGTACTGCGGACCACTAGTTTGAGGTCTTTGCCTGTGGAAAGGCGTAAACGGAGCTGACATTCATAACCAGAGTTGGGTGGTGGCTCAGGAATATCCAGAGTCTCTATGTCACTCTTTTCTTCTATCATGTTGATTGGTGGTGCCAAGCAATAGACTGGAAGCTGATATCTGTTTCCCAGTTCATCATAGCACTCTGTAAGTGCACCTTCAGAAAGAGACATGAATAAAGAGTTTAATCTAAAAGAATACATTATTGTCTACATCCTGCAAACTGTTAAGCCTCTCTTAGTAGTATGTCATTGTAGAGAAACATTGTAAAATGACGCCAATCACTGTCAGCTGGTCATCAAGGAGGATCATCAAAGCCCATGTCAAATTATTTGATGGTTTATCTAATTTGAAGTTAACTAGGACCCTAGCTCCTTCCTCCCCACCCCTACCACTTCTAAGTCATTTTATACTTAATTCATATTTTCATTAAAAAATAATCACAGGAAATAAAAGTATGAAAAATTAAAATTTACTAATATTATTAATGCTTGGGTGGTGCAAGACTGAGCAGCATTTTGTTCTGTTGTACACAGGGTTGCTATAAGTTGGAACTGACTTGAAGGCACCTAACAACATTAATGCATAGACTAAATCAAAGGGAGGTTCAAACTACATTGGGGTATCTCTTTAAGAAATGAATCAGCTACCTTTTTCTTAGGAGCTCTGGTAGCATAGAGGCTACAGCAGTTTACTGCTCACCAGAAGGCTGGCGGTTCAAACCCACCAGCCACTCCTCGGAAGGAAGACTGGGCAATCCTACTTCCGTAGTGATACTGCCTTGGAAACCCAAGGAGGGGTCGCTATGAGTTGGGGCCGACTTGACGGCACGTAACAACAACAACCTTTTTCTTTTTGCAAAAAATGGATCTCTAAGCCCAATTCACAACAGAATGTTCCAGAGCAGTTTTCTTAAGTGCCTGGACTTCCTACACTGAAGTACTTGGCCAGAGGGCCTTACTCCAAAACTACAGGTGACAAGCTTACCAGCTACCTCAGACTCAGGGCTTATATATGAATCTCATTAGCACCATCACCACAGAAATGACTAAGTTTTTTTTTTTTTTTTTTAAATCCCAATCAATCAATCTGTTACAGAGAAAACCAAAAAAACCAAACCCACTGCTGTCATATGCATTCCGACGCACAGCGAATCCCACTGGGTTTCCGAGGCAGTAAATCTTTACAGAAGTAGATTGCCCAGTCTTGCTTCCGCAGAGTGGCTAGTGGGTTTGAACCA